TCCCAATAACAGCACAACTGTGGAACACTATCCCCCTTTCGGTCTTCCCTCCAACGTACAACATCCATGCTTTTAAACGCAGAATCAACAAGCTGGTTCTAGCTTGAATGTTCCCCATACCTTCGCACTTACAGTATATCTTCGGATCATGGGGGTTTACCCCTTTTACTGTATTCACTTGTTTAATAAAAAAATAGGAATGCTCGAGATCTTTAAATACCTGGGTAGCTTAATCAAAGCTGGATGTGGGGAAGAGATCGCATTACGAACAGCAAAAGCTAGAGCAACTTTCGCCAGCCTGCGACACATGTGGTGCCGCCTTGACGTCCGACTGCCCCTTAAGGGAAGGGTGCAGATCGCTGCGGTTCGTAGTGTTCTGCTTTACGGCTGCGAGACCTGGCCTCTCCGATTGGAGGATGTTAATCGACTTTCTGTATTCGACCACCGATACCTTCGAAGCATTGCTCGTTTCTGGTGGGAACGTCGGATGAGCAATGACGAGCCTCATCATCGCGTGCTGGCTGTGACAGTCGTTCTGTAACGGAAGTAATAGTTCTACATCGCCTCCGATGGCTTCGTCACGTTTTGCGTATGCCTGCCCATCGACTGCCTTTCCGTGCTCTCTCCGCACGTGCAGGGCAAGGCTGGAAGAAGTGGCGCGGCGGTCAGACCATGGCGTGGTGTAGAGGTATGAAGAAGCTGTCTTCAGCTTTGGCTTCGCTTGCTGCAGCCCACCTTCCAGGTTGGGGCCCAATGGACGAGGATTGTCGTTGATTAGAGACGCTGAGAGATATGATTCAGAATAGAAGTCAGTGGCGCGAATGTTGTACGGTCTGTATATTAAAATTCTGTGCCCCATAAGAAAAATAATAAACTAAAACACAAAAGCGTTTCAAAATTATGAGGTCAAACAAACAAAAAATGCTTTTTCTCATTCGACTTAAACTTCTGACTCCCTCTTACTGTGCCATATATTCCAAGCCGCAATGTTCTATTATTCTCGTTGAGCTGGCAACAAGCTTGCACACAAGCCAGTGTATTGGTCACTTTTGACGTTGCACCCCGTCCAAACGGTGCACGATCCGATTAACTGTACATCGGACCCTCGATCGATTGTGGTATTTAGGTATCGCCCCGCTGCCTTGTGAGTCAGGTTTCGACACGTTGAAGGCTCCGGCTGTGGATTCCCCAAGAAAATTCACCTGTCTTGGCCTGAGTAATCTGGCAGTATTCCTCTCACATGCGACTCGTGAAACTTTTTCTTTATATAAAGATTACTGTGCCATGACTTGTTAGGCGCAGTTTGGTTGCAGATGTGTATGAAATATAATTCAATATACACCAGCAAGATGCATCAGGTCCTCCCGTCACTGGACCCACACAAGCTACTGGATCTGACGGGCTTCTTCCTATCGTCCTCAAAATGTGCGCCTCCGAACTGGCTCTCTTACGCCGTTTATTCTCTCTATCCCTCGATTCCGGGGTATTCCCAAACCCATGGAAAACACCATAAATACTTTCCATCCCAAATCGTCGCGATCACCCTGACCCAAATATCTATCGCCTCATCTCTTTCGCATCAGTTATCTTGAAGTTTATGGCGTCGGTCATGGCTGATCAATCCTCCGCCACCTATAGCAGAACAAGAGGCTTAACGACCATCACTACGGTCTCCGGTCCCATCGATCTACCGGTGATCCTCTGCTGCTCATTTTGCGAACATGGTCAGCACCCCTCGACAACCATAGAGAAGCCCAGATGGTGTCATTGGATATATCGAAAGCTTTCGTTCGTGTCTGGTACGCAGGTCTACTGGCCCATGTTTGGATTCCCTTCAAGACGTTTGTCCTGGACAGCAAGCTATATTTAAGACCGCAGCACCTCCGTTGGTTGGAGCATTTGTTTCGCATGTCACCGAACAGTCCGTGCTGTTTCGTGAAGCAGCGGATGGATAGAAAAAAACTAAAAAGTGGTCAAATGAAGATTTGGTGTGAAGGTATGAAAACCCTAACCAGGAGCTGAGTGTATCAATCCCAAACCTTAGGAGATGCATACGGTTGGCGTCACCCATGGCATATCACTCAGCGTTCAATTATTAAGGTGAATCACTCAGAGACTGATGGTTAGAGACACTGATATGGCTGGGTGTCGCAAACAGTGGTGCTCATGCATCTACTCATTATTCTCTGAACACCACTCTATATGAATTCTCCATCTTTCGCTTGAGTTTGCTTTCAAAATTCTAATCTTCATGCTGCTCTTTTATCCAAACGGGGCACCTAAAGACAGTAACCAAAACCGGCGCACATGAGTACATAGTTATTGGCTGTAAAAACGGAACTGAAGTGAACCAGTATGCCCATTCGTTACCAAGATGTTCATTGGTCAGTTCGTACACTTCTTGGGATGTTTTGATTCAGCTCAGCTGTGCATGACCCACGGATCCGGCTATGACCCCAAATATTGGCTTTGGTCCTTATTTTAGGAAAAACACATCACGATAAGTTGTTCATCAGGACCTCCCTAGTAGATGCTTTGAGATATGCATTTCACGATAGCGTTTATTGGGAGAGAGAACACGACCTCGTCCACCCTCGGAGATGTTATGAGCGATGACAAACGAGTATGGTCGAGATGTGAGAGAACGCGCAAACCGGAAGAATGCGCTTTACTCGTCTAATCATTTCGGTACATGGGCTGAAGAATAAAAGGAATGGAGTAACAGCATACAGAAACGGAACGAATAGCAAACAAGACAGGAGAGACGGGATTTTTGAGTTCCGCCCCTCATGATAGAACCCATTTTTCATGTTCACCGAACTTGGCACATTGCTTGCAAACGTTTAATCACCAACGCAGATGATATATTCAGTGCTTGTGTTATTGCCGTTTTCTTCTTCCGTACATTCTTCCATATTGATTCATTGTCGATTTCTTGTCTATTCTTCCTGTTGCTTTCCAATACCTTTGGATTAGTCCTTTTTCTGTATCCACCTATGAAAAAATCGTAGGCTTGAATTACTTGATGAACACAGTATAACATCACGACTGAAAAGACGGTGAGCAAACATGCTATACATAATGGCGTTAACTGAGGAGCTTGTCAGGCGAATGAAAAATCAAAACTATAACAACTCACCATTTCCAAATGTTCTGTTTATTTGTTTATTCATTTGCTTATCGAAGTAAACATTCAATATCCTTCTTGCATATAAACTCAGTTCTTTATTCCAAAAAACTGTCAGCACCCACTTACTTAAAGCACACTTTAACTGTTTAATCATACTTCTCTCACGGTTGAACAATCAGCCCAACGATACTTTCATAATTTTTGACTATTTATCTTGGCTTTCTGAAAAAAGCTATCCCAGCACAAATGACTTTAATTTTCACATGTAGTTTACAGAGGTGCCCCCGAACCGTACTTAGAACACCGGTTTATGCTTCCGTTTCTACGCGTATTTTATTTGCCTAAACAGCAACATCATTAGTAATAGTGATTTTCCCTTGCAGTCAATTGTTTTCAAATGTGATGGACTATGATATTTTGGATGAAGGCGAATCGTTTGATAGTGATGCGGTTGACGAAGAGTTGGAACATCAATTATACGGTGCCATATTTTTTAGTACCAGCTCGCCTCCCTCGTCACTACTTGAATCGAGACCAGATCCTTATTTAACTCATCCTGAAAATTCGCAAAACCTCGCTGTTCCGTCGACTCAGGATGTTTCTCGTCAAGTAAATCACACAATTGTAACGAAGTTACCGGAAATTGCGGAAGATATCGTACTATGTTCACCCAAGATCCAACCTAACGAGACGTCAGTCAGTTCAAAATTAGACGCGGCTATCAATGAACCTGTCGGATCCGTCTTAGTTTCTTCCTTCAAAGATCATTCTAGTTCTGAATGTGATGAAGGATTTGAGCAAGAATGCACCGAGGTGGTGGTGGCCGATAGTGTTTCATCCACAGACTACTTCACGGAAGAGTCGGATTGCGAATCGATTTCGAGTGTCAACGTCCGGCGTTCAAAGCTGTCTAGCAGCACCCCTAAGAGTTCCAAGGCTCTACCGTGGGGTGGGGAAAACATTGTACTTGGTGTATCTAAAGAAGGATCCACAATTGTTTGCAATGCTGAAGATTCTCAAGTCATTGCGCAGCTTTTGGAATCCAGTAGCAAAGATCCCAGTTTTTGGCGCGTTAGTCACGAGGATCGAATGCTAAGCCGTTCTCGGCGTTCTCGAGACCGTTACTTTAATGATTCCAAAAACTCTGTGTGCTCCAAGTGTGAGAAGAAGGGCCACCTCGCAGTCGAGTGTCGTAATGTAAGTGTTTTGTTTGGATGTGCTATGATCCTCTGCTACGTTTTCATTGTTTAACTACATTGCGTTTAGTGGAGATCAGTGAAGTTCACTTTAGCATTAAGAAAAATAGTTAATCCTCAAATATCAATCTTTCATCCACAGAAAGTGTCTCGGACACGCAGTGAAGTCATCAAACTTCTTTCTGATTCCTTGCGATGGATACACAATATCATGTTCGTTAATATCTTGACGTCTAAGTTAAACTTTATAAATGTGAACACGACTCCGTCACAGAATAGTCCAGCACTGTTTTGTGTAATAGCGACCAAAAGACAGCAACCAAAACCGGCGCACGAAAGTGCATGCCTAATAGTTGTAACAACTGAACGGAATAGCGATGGAATTCACATTTCTAACGTTCCACTTCATCGTCAAGTGTTCAACAAACGTAATACTGTGTGCATCCCTCGCATGGAATGAAAGAAGCTTGGTGATTTCATCGCGTGTGTTTGAGAAACTTCTGTTTTCTCAGGAACCTAAACGCACGCACTTACAATGCTGAGCGCAATATTCGTTTTTGCCCAGAATTCCCGATTTATCTTATTGCTCGGTCGAACCGGTGGTCCTATATTCTGTTTCACACACTATCGTTTTATGAACAGCAAACGGGATAAATCACATGGTCACGATGTTCTACTGGTAGCCGGAAACCTAAGCCTGGGGCCTGGAGTGGTGAATCACTTGGTCTCACTTGATAGCTCCGAAACCCTTTGGGTGCATAAAGTGTTTCTTGACTTTACTTGAACCTTCGATCAAGTGTGGCATGAAGGGTTGCTAAGCAAAACTATCTGGACTCTGTTACTTACTTAACTGTGGTCATTTATCTTTTTATTGTAATTAGCATTTGTAATAAAAAGCTCCATTAGCACAGGTGTGATCTGAGCCGGACGACAGCAAAGCTACCTATCCCCAAATGTAGACAGCAGGAGAAGACTGCTGCCATGGCTAACAACAGCAATATTTTCTGTCTAATTAAGAATGGAGCACACGAAAGTAGGTTTAAATGAGGAAGCTAAGGAATCCGAAGGCACACTGATTCATATTCAGCAATGTCGTCTTGAGGCTCTGACATTTCAAATCCGCACACCCGCATGCCGCTGGATTTCTGATAGACTTTATTCTATGAAATTGTATTTATCACGCAGAGTCAATGTACCATCCACCAATTACAAGCCTTGGAAGCTCTGAAAACCTGTTTCATCTTTGCTAGGGCTCATTAACAGCGTGTATCCCCAGGATTCACAGGGATTCTAACCCGAGCACGAGGGGTTTTAATCCGATGAGCCACCCGCTTAGATTATCCGCACTGGCTCTCAACAATACCGCTCGGATTCCATTGGATTCAATGAATATCCACTGCTGGTAATTTTTGATAAGGATGAGTCAGCTGCACAGTGTTTCGAAGACTTTTCTTGGCCATGTGCAGGCTCCTCTGTTACCATTTTACTTATCCCCAACGATGCAAATCGCATGAAATGACTTTGATCGTCAATTCAGGCCAGTGCATTAGTGGTGTCAATGAGCAAAACAGCATAGGTCTGTTAAATTTGATATCGCAATGTGCAATTGAATAGCAGCAATTTTTTCTGTATACCAGCAATCATGGTGGTCTGCAGTAGTAATACAGAAATTATGAAGCTACAGTCGTCACTTTTGCAAAATTCGGAATCCTCAATGCGATACTCACTACCGGTTTTTTCTTTATTCTCATTCAATGCTGTCACAGTTTGGTCCTACCTGTATCTTATGTGGTCGCGATGGCCATCGCCGCGAAGACTGTGATCGGATATACTGTTACGCATGCTTTTCACCCGGACATTCTAAGCACAACTGCACGCTTTTGGATTGCCTTAAACGATCTGTGTGCACGCGTTGCGGGTTGCAAGGTCATCAGGCCCATGTGAGTTATTTTCTTCCTTATCTGCGTTTCTGATATTTTTGTGATTGCATTGTTCACTTCCAGTTTGTCGCGTATATTCCTTTATCATCACTCTTTTCCCTGGTTCTTTGCAGCTATGTACGGAACTGTGGCGACAATATCGATATACGGTGAGCTATCTTGATCAAAGTTAAAAGCATTACAGTTGTATTATATTCAGATTTTAACCGGCTCGTTCTTCTCCATTGCGTTGTAGGTAGAGCCCGGCAAACCAAAGCCAATCCCGCGCAAAATGGAAATCCAGCCGGGTGGTTGTTGCAATTGTGGCAATCGTGGACACACGGTCGATGTGAGTTGACCGACTTCATTCTTTGTTTGTGCTTTTTGTGCAACTCCACAACTCTTCGGTATTCGTAGTCCTTACACTACATGTAACCATTACCCAATCCCGGCTGGTACCGCTTCAATCATAAGGCCTATGTTTTAACGTGACATTCGATGGTTTCTTTAGATGATGAGCTATGCTACTGTTGTGCAATTTAATTGGTAACTTTTTGCAACAGAATCATGTATACACTCTCGAACGATAAACACACAATGTTAGAGACATTTATACACATATACAGGTGCATCAGGATTTCTCGTACACCAAATATTGGGATCCTCAAACGACTCATTTTGAAGTGTCATTTTCACTGCTGCAGAAACAACCAGTATTTAAACAGATCATTAGTGTATAGTTCGGCGTAGATTAAACCAAGCTCTGGTGTCAACCACGTCAACTTGATGGTCTCCAGAACATGTCATTGCTATCTGCGTTGCAGTCAACACTTGCGTGCGTGACTAGGAGGGAAACTGTCTGCGCATGCGCTTGTGCATCAGTGCTTAGTTCCAGCTACGCAAAACTCTATGCTAATTATCTGTACTTTGTAACTACCGGTTTTATCTGCAGCAGTGAAGCTGATAATTTGACTTGGGCTGGTTTTAGATCTGAATATTCGGTATACAAGTCCTCGATTGGCATTGTTCAGGCATATGCCCTGGGAAGTGTCACGCTTTGAGGTGTATTGTTTATGCAGTTGTAACCTTTTATATACACAGTACTACGTTATTATTCGCTATTATTTGGGAGTGAAATAAACCTCGAGAAAATTTGGACTTGGCTTACGAGATTGCGCTTCCCTGAACGTTGGTCTTGATACTCGTGCGGATTTAACACTCGGAAAAAGGCACTTAGCCAAGTGTGTTGCGGTTCGTAGCTTACAACTCTCAAAAGATAAGATAAAGTGATATGGACTTTTATTCACAGTTGGACCGCACAAGAGCATAATGCCCAAATAGCACTACACGAAATGCTAATCCAAATTTCAGTCGAAGATATACCTGTTGTTGAAGTATGGGAATTACTCAATTAGAGAGGGCACCAAATACGCATATCTGATATTCAACGATGGTCAGTCGTGCTTCCGGGTGGAATTTTTCACTCATTCACATACTGCTTATAACATCATGCGCACTGAAATTATAAGAACATTCGTTTTTTCCCGTCTAACTTCATTAAGGTGAAATTTTGATCGAGTAATACCCAAAGTCATTCCCAATTAGGCTGTGCATGATTTTTCAGCATACCACCAAATATAGAAATTTCGTTGACACTATGTCGACATAATGTTTCAAAATTATAGAGATGATCCCCCCTCCACGGTCACAACATGATGCATCCGTAGTATGTGCATTGTTTTCTTCTATTTCATGGTCTTTGTCAGGTCGCCATATGTAATTTGGTGCATGTTATAAGTCTATAGACGAGCATTTAAGACCACATTCAGTATCCCTGGATCACTGCTGTTTTTCGCCAGGTGACAAATTATCATAAACGAAGAACAGGAAGGCACTGACTTTTAAACAGGCATGCATTGGCATGGGATAGAATAACTCACTCAAGTATCGAAACGGTGGTTCGTCTTTGCCGGTGGAACGCCAGTTACCGCAAGTTGATTAACCGAAATCTCCGAGTATTTAGACCAAAGGTATTAAAAGTTGACTTATCCGATCCGCGGTGATGGGAAATTCGAATTTGCAATTTTAATCTAATGTATGCCTTGGGCAATTTGATAAATCGCGTTACTGAAGTAGACGATACGATGGGCGATTTTTTTGAACCAGCATCGATTTCTGCTGGTGTTACAGGAGATCCATCCATAGGAGAAACAATGTTCAGTGACGAGGCAGTTCAACCTGGACAAATCGGATTATTCCAATTCAACAAGCTACATTATGACAAACAATAATTCATAACCCAGAGTACATTTTCCTTAGCCGCTCTGAACGGTTGATGACTGTGGAAACTGAAATTTAGAGATATATGTCTTTACACCTGAACCTTTCATTTTGCCGTTTGTCTCAACGAAGATGGGTGGATGATCATTTCAACAATACAACGCCGCAATGTACACTCAATACGTTCGAAAGGTGTAGGGGCTGTTTTGTAGGGTTCGTTTTTCGGGACTGCTGACTTTTGCCTCATCTCATCTCAGCCCCACTGAGAGTCTTCCGCACTGTTGACTAGACCGGTTTAGCGAAATACCAAAACCTCTGTTGTACACAAAGATAACAACATATCAGTACCGCAGTGTGCATGAAATTTGTCAACAGCATGCAGAAAGTGTGCACTGATATTTTAGAGCAAAATGAATCACAGTAGTGGGATGGTAGTACACTGTTGCCATATTTTTGTCACACCCTACAGGGTATATTCGCGAACATGCCAACTCATTTGTTGAACGCTTGCTCCGATTAACTGTGGCCTTACTGGGGACTGTATAAAAACGACTGTTTTCTTGTTCTGATTATCAAAGTCAATTCATGTGTCTGTAGGCTTTTGGTGCGTACTTCATATGCATTTGAAATGATTTATCCAACGAGGTTGCCAAATTAGAAATGGATTTTGAATGGCTTATCTTTTCCTTAAGGCACCCAGACATTATCCTAATGCTCAAGCATCCGTTTCGTAATTGTATCCTCCCATAATATTTCCCAATTGAATTCCAGGAATGTCGTCGAAAACCTTTCCGTTCTAACTTTCTTGGTCCTCCTCCACGTCGTCGCGTTCTGGTTTACGACCAAAAAGATATATACAAGCGATCGGGGGCACACAGAAATCTCGCATCGGGTCGAGATAATGTGGTAACAAAAAAGAAGGCTTCTAAAAGGGTTCAGGTAGCTTCTACAAAGCAGGAATCTGGAACAAAGAGAGACCGCGATGTGATCGGACAGGAAAAGAGCAAAAAATCGATTGATATAGAATCACGTAAAGGCAAATCTGTAAAAAAGAAGAAGAAAAAGGTAGCGAGCGAAAATCTTCCAATGAATCCATGTGAACAAAGTTTGGCGAATGTGGAGCGATCAGTCAACGAGAAACTCTTTGAACAAATTTCAAATCAGTTATGTGAGAGTCAGCAGGAACCTGATGGATCAGTTGGTACGTGCAAACGGTTTCCCTACTGTCGATGTTTCTTCACCAGTGGGCTCATTTTTCTTCCATCAGATCTCGAATTCCATTCAATCTATGAATGTTCTGTCTAAATTTCAGTTACTTCATGTAGTGAAATCTACACTTTCCTGACTAGTGATGTTCCGTTAGCGGTTGAATGTCTCGATATCAATTCAAAATGTTTTGTTATCTTGCGCGGTACGACAACGAGCCGTTAAATCAACTAGCTCGTCCAACTGACGCCTAGGCTATGTATCGCCTGGCTGTGTTGAACATCCTCATGCTCATAACGATTCGTTCTTTTTACGACGTGTTGCACGCGAGCAAATTCGATACGTGTCTAATAGTTGTCAGAAGAGCGCTGAATTCTGGAACCCATCGTTAGTGCAAAAAGGTCTATTTCATTTCTCAGAAATGGAGGTTTACAAGGAAATGA